CTCCTCTTTCTCTCTCATTCTCTCCCTCTCCCTTCTTTTCCAGAAAATCAACCCTCCCTTCAAAAGAAGAAAAGGTTATTCTACTAATTATAATCTTAATGAATAGTGTTCAATCTGAAATACACAAGACAGATTCAAAACTAAGACGGCTGAGAAAGCATAATATACACTTCATCGTGCAACAAAGAACTTTTACTACTTATTAAGATACGCTTTTCGCGTTCTCCTAAAGCTTCTGCAGGGCACGTAAGCAGGTCTGTCCATCCACCACCCGCCTGGCAGCAGGGGAGGTCCGACCGTTTCTAAGGAACGACTGAGTTGTGACGGGTCTCTCCTGCCACAGCACGAGGCTGCCTCCCCGGCAGTCACAACTCCGGGCGCAGCACAGCGCCCAAGGAGCGCTCTCGCACGGCTCTCCGGCTTGCCCTTCCTGGCCGCGCTCACCTCGGGGCAGCCAGAAGAGCCTACAGCGCACAGTTCCAGGAAAGCCTTCAGCCCGATTCTTATTTACATTCGGTCTCCGCGTCATTTCTGAGAATAAAGTTCCCGAGATTCTCTTGGATGACGGGCCCTAAAGTTAGGTCACTGCCCTCCACAGAGTAATATGCTACGTTTGTACCAGCTCGGCCTCCTTTAGGCCTCTAATGATTTTGTGTGCTGTAGTTTCACTGTTGAGTCTGCCAAGATTCACCAACCAAGCAGTTTCAATGTAAACGCTGAGTGAATTTCTTTAAGCTGTCAACCACTTTAATAAATGTGACTATAACTAATATTAAGAACTCAAAAGTGAAAAAACACCTGCTTATTTTTGAAAGAAAGCTAGTGCACTAATGACTTTCTCTTCTATTGCTTCTTTATCCTGTAAAATTATAGGATTTTATTACAGACTAAGGCCCAAGGAGTATATTTCCCTCCTCAAATTATTCATGGTATTTATCAAAATGAGCAAAGGGGAAAAGACAAAATACAGACTAACCATAAATCAAGTGAAACATTTTGTTACTAAAAAATAAAGGTGAATGTAGAGAAATTGAAATCCTATATGTTCTTGAGCATCAAAGAGTCTTATAACGTCTCTTGAGGAAAGATTAGCTGTTCTTCCAAATATGTTACTTTTAGCCACTGCTCCTTCATTATCTTCTTGAACAGCAACAACTCATGTCAAATAGTTCAACAAAACTTCCAGGGTAAGTAAACAAGTAATAAATATTTCAGGTTTCATCAGATTTTATAAAATATTTAATTTATTCTGTCCAGCAACATTTCTCTGTTTCCTAGAAGTGTTTGCATGACAATAAACATTTTCAAGGAACAAAATGGAGACTAGGTGGATTTTATTCAATTTTCAATGTTTTCTCCAGGCGTTTTCTGGGAAATACATTTCTAGAAAGAGGCCATCTGCTGCTGGATGACCAATTATGACAGCAGCATGTTTCACAAGAAACATTTCAGGATAAAGCATTGTCTCAGGAAAATGGCACGATGAGGCCCAGACACATTCTTCCCGCAGCCAGTAGCTGATGATCTCTTTCACCCCAGCTCCCACTCTTTATTTTAAATCCTATCATCGGATCAATGTCAAGCCACTTGCAGCTAAATTGGCAGTTGCAGGGACAGTCATTAAAGGGATGCATTCAATAAAGGCAAATCCAATTACCTTCTGCATTAGAGAAATCAAATTCATTTCTAGCATTGGTCAAGGACAATCTTTGTGCAGAAAGATGCAGGAAAGGAGACTGAAGATGAGGTAAGGAGGCTGCCACGGAGCATGAACACAATATAAAACCTGTTGCCACTTCTCCTACGAGCAGAGAGTAGAATTTAAAATAGTGGGTCTTTCTTTCTAAGCTGAAAGAAATTTCTTTAACTCTTTGACGCTCACAATCCCCTAACAATTCCTTTCTCCTAGGACTGCCCAGGACACAGAACTTCACTATGCCCCTTAGCACCTTATGCTCTGTCAGTCTTTCCCAGTAGACTCACACTATTTTAGGGGCTAGGTACTGTGCTATCAGAGTGGGGAAATACAGCCGGAAGTTTAGAATCCAGTAAATTATTGTAAAACAATTTGCCTCTGCAAACACCCTGTTTGGAATCTAAAGTGAAATCTTTGTTCTACTTTGAGTCAAGCGACAGCAGGAAAACAGAAAGTGACAGGCATTTTCCATAGAGCTTCATGGATTATTACATTCTTAGGTGTACTTTTCCTATTAACAACCACATAACTTAATGAGATAAATGATTATTTCCTACCTTTCACCAATGGAGAGAAAAAAAAAAAACTGTGAGATTAAATAACAGACAAGGTCACTCTCCAAATACCTTGTTTCATGCACCAGATGCCAGCCTGGGGCTAAATCCAAGTTTATTCATTTCTTACCAACTTTTTATTTAAGGCAAATAATCAACCCCTTTGTGCCTCAATATCTCATTCACCCTCCATGAGCCTATAACGTGGACTAGAAGGAGCTACAGTTCTGCTTCTTGCTCTGTGTCCAAACTAATATTCAATTTTACTATATTACTCTTCCTGTTAATCATTCACTCTTTGAATATCTTTAAATTTCTTTTTTCTCTATTTAGTATAGGGTCTATAGGGTCTCATTACACAGATTGGATTCATAGTGATCTTCCTGTTTTCTGCTTCCCAAGCACTGAGATTACAGGTATGAACCACCACGCCCAGTCTCAATTGCTGTCTCAGTGCACCCCGGGGGCAGGGCTGGCACGGCATGCCGGGGGTCGAACCCCAGTCCCTCCACCTGCCTAAGCAGGCACTTTAATCCACTGAGCTATCTGCCCAGCCCTGAATATCTTATATCTCTATTTTATTCATCATTTTAAAATCACATTTTTATGTTTTATCTATGAAATATGAGAACATGAAAGTATTGAAGCTTTTAACATATCATTTCTATGTTTTGGGGGTAGGAACGTTTCTACATTCTACATTTCCTTTACACTGACCCTATAATTAAATAGACTGCATGATCCTTCCCCAGATTTTGGCTTGACTTTGTGCTCTGTTTCCTGGGCTTGAATGTTGTTCTATAATAAATTTTTCAGGAAAGGATCAGAAATGCTTTTGTAGAATGCTTTTACCTACAAAGCATCTTTTTATTCACACCTGGCCATCAGTTAGACTAAGTAAAAATTAATGAATCATAGTTCTTCTTTTAGGAATTGAAAGCATTGCTTCATTGTTACATATTATAAAGTGATACTAGCAAACTCCTGAACAAACTAAAAAATGTAATTATTATTATATTATTATCATTATTACAACTATCATTATTATGCTTTTACTGATAAGTTGGTTGTACTGCTTGGATGTCAAAACTATTTGTAGTGCTTTCTTGGGGGCAGATTTCGAGTATAACAATTTTGCTAAGCTTATTGGTTACATCTTTTGTTTTAGGCACGATCTTTTTTCTTTGAGTCTAAAGAGTCAAGTTTTCCCTTATTCTGTTAGGTCTTTTTGAAGCCTTGTCTTTAACTATTATATTTCT